TCTTCTCTTGCTCGTCGGAGCCGTGCTCGAAGTGCTCGCTGCAATCTCTCGTTGCTGTCCACCTCCGTGAGTGCCTTCTTTGCCGCCGCACGAATTTCCTCCGCCTTCTTCCAGGATTTGTCGGTGCTCTGGGTCGTCTCGTACTCCCCGTGGTCGTTGGTCAGTTCGGCTGTGATGTCCGGCTGTCGACAAACACCCGTTGAGCAGGAGAGTATCCTGACCGGTTGGTCATCGTCTGCAGTGCCCAGGATACCGAGTGAATCATGTTCTGGACCTCCTGAAGGTCAGTCGGTGGCCGAAGTGCTCTGGTGCGAAAGTAGACCTGCTTGAAAAGGCCACCCCGGCGCTCCACAGTGCCATTCTGGTACGGAGAATCCCGTGCAATCGGCATGGGTTGGATGTTGCACTCTTCCAGTCCTTCTTGAAAATCACCACCAACAAACTCGTTGCCTTGGTCGTAGATGAGGAAGGCCGGGCTGCCGAAGACTCGCACCCAGTGCTGTAGGAAGCATGACCAGACCAGGGCTGCCGATCTTCTTGTCGGATGCACCATCGTGAAGGTGCTGTAGAGCGTGCCAACACAAGTGACATTCATCGCCGGGTGCTCCTCCTTCTCGCTGATTCCATGAAGGAAAAGCAAATCAATGCCCACGACCACGTTGAAGTCGTAGGTCCGTGGCGTTGCAGCGGGTAACCTTGTGGGCTGTCGCTTTTCTCGAAGACACCCTTCGCATCGAAAGTCCGCCACCACGTAGTCGATGATGTCCTTGCGAACTCCGGCAGTGCGTAGAAGTTGAATGAATTCCTTGGCTTGCGGATGCCCCAGATTGATGTGGCTCCGCACCTCTGCCTTCTCCCTCCTCGGTGTAGGTCTGGTTCATGACCGGGTACGTGTAGACCACAACCACATAGGTGTAGTCCACCTCCGAGCGAACAGGCTGGCCACCTGTTCCTCGCTCTAGTTGCAGCCAGCGATTATCCCAGGGGTTCAACGCCCAGGTCCACCTCCAGGTGCGGTGTCGGGGTCCTGACCTCGACAGTACCTTGGGTCTCTTCAAGATGAACGCCGCATGGTCGGCGAACTTGGTCCATCTCGCCACCTCATTCCGTTGCAGCTCATCGATCCACCGATTGAGCTGGGCCTGGTCAGGAAGTTCAGGCTCATCTATCTGGCTCTTCATCCAGTCCTCCAGCATGCCATCCACGATGCACTTAACCAGCTCTGGCGGGTACTCCTGCGCAAAGTGCGCTCGTCCGCTCAGCAGTGGTTGGTGTTCTCCAGGTCCGCATTGGCATAGCTTCTGCAGTCGCACCGCAATGGCATCACAACTCGTTGCAAACAGTGTGGACTTCTTGCTCATCCGCGAGTCGCGCCCAACCTGCAGTCCAAACCTGCAGAGATGACTCTTCACAAGTCGAATCCTCTCGTGGGCCAACAACTTCTCCACGGCGGGGAGCATCCAGGAAGTAGCTGTGTCTGGGTGTTCATGTAATCCGTGATCGCCACGTGCCAGTTGCTCTTCCTGCATTTCCAAGCTGAAGGTCATGTGGTCGATCGCCTCGGGCAGTTCTTCCTGTAGCCGTTCTGGATATGGCCGAAGGTTCTGGAGTTGGGAAAACTTCGTGCAAGGCGGGCTGGTCACCAACAGTCGGGGTCGTCTCCTTCGGACTTCGGCCCGTACGTTGTTCTTCGTCTCCTTGGACAGGAGGTCATAGCCCGTCTTCAGATCTTCCGACAGCGAGGCTTTCAAACCTCTGGCCGCAGCCTCCTTTACCACACGCGGCTCGCTGTAGAGCTCCACCACCATGTCCGTGGTGTTCAGGTCGTACTTGTTGTTCGGAAGGCCACCGTAGATCTCGACAACGTCATCCAGTTCCTCAGCTTCCCAGAAAGACCAGTAGGCCTGACGCTCGCCCAACATCTCATCCAGAGCTCCCAAGAGCTCCATCCGCGTTGTCCTTGGCAGACTCGTCTCGTTGCTCTCCTCGTCGTTGTTGAGGTACTCCACCAGCTCGCTATCAAGCTCGTAGCAGACCAGATGGTCGACCTCCTGCTGGAAGTCGTATGTCTCCGCCGCGGACTTCGCAATGTCCACAATGTTCCAAAAAGGATCTGCACCGCGCCGGGTCAAAATGATCCTGCGGTTGATAATCGGTAAGGTGGTGACAGGCGCAATGCCGACGACCTTGTCTCCCACCTGGTGCACGGTGTAGGTCTTGTGCACATCCAGGAACCGCTCAATCTCGGCTCGGGGGAACTTCTCGTCCGTGAAGCTCGGGTTGTTGTCTGTCCACCAGCATCTCACTGGTGAACTCCGTAAGGCTGCACTCGTCGGCTCCAAGGAAGAACCGAGTGCGTCCTGTTCACGTCGTAGTTCACTTGGGCCATCACCTGCTTCAGGTCGCTCACAGGAAAAACACACTCGTAGATCTCGGGCTCGTCCGGGTTCGGATGGTCAGCATGTCCGACTTCTGACACTGTGGGCATAGCACCGTGTCCTTGGCCAACTCGATCTCCTCCAGGATCGATGTCCACTTCAACCGGCACCGTTGGTAGTTGCATTTCCACAGAAAGTGGCCGGTCGTCTTGTACAGGTGTAGGTAGACACGCCCCTGACCGAGGCATTCCTGGCACTTCTGCTTCAGAACCGAGTGGTCTGCCAATCGGAATCGAGTCCAGAATCCGTTTGCCAATCAACGCATGTGGCAACCGGGCTTTGGCCTCCACCAACCACAGCTGCAGGTTCTGGTGGTACTCCTTCCAGTTCTTCTCTGGTTGCTCACCGCCCCACACCGGGGCCGGGTCCATCCGGTAGTCCACGTGTCGACGTTCACCGCCAGCAGCACCTTGAGGTTGTGCAGATCTTCGCGATCCCGGAGTGCCTGGAGCACTCGCTGGTTCACGTAGTGGTTCAGTGCTGGAGCAGGTGCTCGTGGAGGTTGCACAGGATTAACCTGTTGGAACCCATCTTCATCTTCTTCTTCATCATCCGGCGCCTCGCCAGGAGGTACAGCTCCTTCAGCAGTCATGCCAGCGCCTCTCCAGGGGAACCTCTGTCTCCACGGTTCCATTGCCGTCAGGCGAGGTCACGTCAGTGACCACTCCCACCGAAGTGGTACTCCTTCTCCTTCACCAGGATGCCGAAGAGGATCTCCTGGTGATCGTGCTGTTGTGGGTGTCCAGCTTGTTCTTTTCTGCGATCTCCTCCTCCAGCAACTCCACCGCCCGCGGCGTCCCCCGCTAGGTGAAAGTCCTGCACCAGCGTACTGCCCGGCCGTCACCGGGGCTCCGCTACCATGAAATACCCCAACGGGCAGCGCAGCTAACTTTTCCTCGACTCAAGGGCCCTGTTTGGGCCGAACGGCATCGAGTGGTTGGGTTAAGGGGCATGCTCACTCATTGACACAAACCAAACAAGCAAGCAAACAAAAAAACACACACACACACACACAAACACACAAACAAACAAACAAACAAACAAACAAACAAACAAACAAACAAACAAACAAACAAACAAACAAACAAGCAAGCAAGCAAGCAAGCAAGCAAGCAAGCAAGCAAGCAAGCAAACAAACACACAAACACACAAATAAACACACGAACAAACACACGAACAAACAAGCAAGCAAGCAAGCAAGCAAGCAATCAAGCAAGCAAGCAAACAAAACAAACAAACAAACAAACAAACAAACAAACAAGCAAGCCAGCAAGCAAGCAAACAAACACACACACACACACACACAAAGGAACGACCCAAACCCCCCCCCCCCCCCCCGTCCAAGAAAAAAACAGAAACCACCCGCCCTGCCAAAAACGCCGCACCCATTTCTGTCTGCTTTCGCGCCGGCCTTGTCTTCACTCTTTGCGATGGGCGCGGTTTGAAACTGCAATCCCCGCCCCAGGCCTCCGGTGGCTATGGGGAAAAAGGACGCCCTTGGTTGCAAGTAGACGTTGAAGCAAAGGGACCACCCCGGCCGCTGGTTTTTCAGGGGTCTGATCTCTCTCTAAAAACCCTTTCAGGTCGCCCCGACTAGGCTGGCCGCCATTTTGAGAAACGTCTCTCAGAACAAACACGGCGTTTGTCCAAAGACCCCGCAAGAGAAACACGTCTAACAAAAAAAAGAGAAGCACGCTCCTGAGTCTTCTGCCCAAACCTGGAATGAGAATTGGCCCCAAAACCGACCATGGGTAACTTTTCCCGTTTCGTGGACGTCAAATCTTCGTGGCCTCGTGGTCACACGTTCGGACCTTTTGACTGGGCTCTCAGGGAGTCAGAAATGGAGTGACCCCTATGTTAACCCCTTCTGCTGACCCCTGTGCCATCCCTTGTGATGACCCCTGTGCCATCCCTTCTGCTGACCCCTGTGCCATCCCTTGTGATGACCCCTGTGCCATCCCTTGTGCCATCCCTTGTGATGACCCCTATGCCAACATCCCTTGTGATGACCCCTGTGCCATCCCTTGTGCCATTCCTTGTGGAAGACCCCTATGCCATCCCTTCTGCTGACCCCTGTGCCATCCCTTGTGATGACCCCTGTGCCATCCCTTGTGATGACCCCTGTGCCATCCATTGTGCCATCCCTTGTGATGACCCCTATGCCAACCCCTTCTGCTGACCCCTGTGCCATCCCTTGTGATGACCCCTGTGCCATCCCTTGTGCCATCCCTTGTGCCATCCCTTGTGATGACCCCTATGCCATCCCTTCTGCTGACCCCTGTGCCATCCCTTGTGATGACCCCTGTGCCATCCCTTCTGCTGACCCCTGTGCCATCCCTTCTGCTGACCCCTGTGCCATCCCTGGTGATGACCCCTGTGCCATCCCTTGTGCCATCCCTTGTGATGAGCCCTATGCCATCCCTTGTGTTTTCTTTTTCCTTTAAGGGAACGCCTAAAACCGCGTCGTTCCCAACACCAGGACTCGTTGGCAAGTTGATCAACCCCCTTAGCACCGGACCTTTGCAGATCCCTCCAAGCCGTCGCCCATCCAATTGCCGTCGCTCAGCGGTATCTGCGCCGCCCTGACGCAGGCGGAATTTGGGCTCGGGGTCTCAAATGGGACATGGTGCTCCGCGTCTGTGTTTTGCTTGTGTTGTCCTTTTTTATTCCTGTGCTTAATGTTTTTCTTGTAGTTGCATTGGAGTAAATTCACCGGAAGGAATGCTGAATATCTCCAGCAGTGATAGATTCCCTTGAAACTAACCTGGGAAAATAGGACATGTTCTTACGCAAGAGGAAGTGTGGAGGAACCCTTTCTGGGGGTTGGTTTAATAGGGAGGCAAAAGGATTCCTTGGACGCCACCCGATCAGGGGGTTGCGGAACTACACGCCCATTTTGCCATGTCGAAACACAGCGACTGGTTCAAAACTCGCAACTTCCTTCAAATTCCATCCCCCTGTCAACACTGGGTCTTGCAAAGCACCACATGGTGCGCAAGTTCCGTCAAAGGCTGCAGAGCTGTGCCTCCAGTGGTTTACAGAGTGGACGAGTGAAGGGAAGACTGCTGCGGCAAAGTTTGTCGGTTGCCGCAAGCCTGCAAGAGTGCAAGTAGGGCCAAACTGGGGCGAAACACACCAAACTCCTGTGATACTCACGCTCATTACAATTTGTGTGACCCCAAGCTGAGCTATGTGACTCAAGCAATGGGAACCACACAACTTGACTTGTTTCACTGCACAGCCCCAAACGGCCTTTGTCGCCTAAAGCTGGCAAAAAAGGACGGTTAGTTTCTACTCAGAAAAACATACCGCTCGAATCCGGCTTGAGAATGGGTGATGCCCGTTGAAAGTCCACTGTGCACTCATAGCTCGAGTCGGGAAGAGTATTGCGAACGTTGCTTGGCCATCTTTCAGGGCGTGTCTTCTTTCAGGTTGACAAATCATGCCACCAGAAAAGTGGATACTTGCAGACCGGATTTACACTTTTGTCGGTGTATGCTCCTAATGGATTTCCCGCAAGTTGCCTTGAACAAGGCACCCCCTACAGGGGTCACTGGATTTCCCTAATCAAAAGTCGATCAATTTACGGGTGGTGTCCATTGAACCGATCGCCACCTTTTGGCTTTCAAACAAATCGGTTGTTGTACTACCCACATTGGTGGTTTTCCTTGTAACAAGTCCTTTGAACAAATGCATCCAACTCTCATCTATCGCTTGTTGTTAGCTTTAGTTTCATTACTCATATCATCCAGCACTCTTACCTTCCCTTTAAAACCCAACAAAAAAAACAATTGCTGTTGGAGAAGTCGAACCACCGGAAAAAACACAACCGGAAAGCGCCTCGGGCCGCGCCCATGGCCCCCAGGCCCAGCAGCCTCGAAACGGTATGGCGCAAACCGGAATGCCAAAATGGCTTGCCCGATCGGTGGACCAATGGACCAAAATTCCTGCGGTTTGCCCCTGTTGAATTTTGAGCCATACCCGACTGAAGGCTACCCAGCTTTTCTTTTCTCCAGTTGAGAGGTTAGAAGAAGGGTGCCCACCTTTGTTCTGTAGTACCAACCTTTTTTTCTGTACCCTATGTTCTGTCTAGGTACCCACTTTTTTCTGTTCAGTCTTTTTTAGTAGGGGAACCGGTAAAAGGGCACTACTGGGGGACCTAGTTGAGATGGGAAGAACTCGATGGGTTTGTACGGTACCTCTGTTGGTCTATATCGTCATTTGTTTCTGCAGGGTACCCTTTTTGGAGTGGGGTTTTGTACATTTGTGCTTCCGAAGCAAGTGTAAGGTGCCCGCAGGTAACATTTTAGCCAACCTTCCAGGTGTGAGCAAAACATTTTTTTGGGAAAAACGCACGTTCTAAGTATGCGTCCGGTACTTTATGTTTTTTCAGGGTACCACTTCCTACCCTTTTACACGGAACCTGACGTACGGGAAATGGTCCCTTTAAAGGGGAAAATGGTCCAAACCGGGATCCCCCGAACGTCTTAGAGTAAACTGTGAATCATAAAGCATCTCATGATAGGCTTCAGGGCAAATGGATGCAATGTTGGGAGCGGCTGACTTCCGATCAGGTGGATTGTTGACCTCAAACACGGCCTTCCCAAAAAGTTGCAAAGTGATAAAAGTCCAGGAATGCGGGGAGTGAGAAGAAGAACCCTGTCCAAAAAAAACACGCCGCTCTAGCCCCAGGCTTGGGACCCTTTGATGCCATCGGGTCCTGCAAACTAGGTCCAAATGCCAGGGCAGATCCAAAGATGATGGCTTTGTGGGGTTCTATGTAAATCTGCGGGAGTCAACTGAGGGGGCCTGAACAAATTGACAATTACACCGAGTAAACATCACTTCTCAAGCTTTCGTTTTAGCTGAACCAAACAATGCCGCAGTTTAGCAGGTGATTGACCCCCTGAATGTTCCCAAGCAATGAAACACTCCATCCGCAGCAGCCACCCCCCTACATGTTGATCATGCACTATACATCCTCCGACTCCCTGCTCATAGCTTGAAGAGTAACGCTTGAGCCAGTTTCGAGAAGGATGAATGCACGCTTTGGGGCAATGGAAACATGCCGCACAGTCCCGATACTATGTGCCCTTTTCCGACTCTAGAAAAGTTTCTCTGCGCTTTGGCCCTAGACGTAAATGATGCAACAACAAGTTCTCGGGGACCCCCTACGTTCGACACCCCTTGTAACAGGTGCGCGGAATTCGAATTTCCGCACAGGATGCAGTTGGTGGGCAAACGTAGGGTTCAAAAGTGAACAGGGGAATTGTTGGCAAAGATGACTCCCAGAAGTCAAGCACCAGGGGAGGTAAGGCCTGGCTTTGACCCTTGCTCCACCCAAACTCCCAAACTCAACAACACGACACAGGCGGCAAACAAAAACAATCAAAAAAACCTCCCTCCGCTCCCTCCAGGCAACAAGGACCAAACCAACTTTGCTTGGAACAAGGCCACAAACCCAGGCCGCCGACACCATCTCGCCAAGCCAGGCGCCCGTGCGCAACGCCGGCGAAGGCAGAGGACACGCCGCTTGCAGAGGGCTCCTCGAGGCGCGGAGGGGATGCTTGAGAACTCCGCGACATCCAAACGGATCAGCTGAATGGCTCTTAGGGCCAAGGTTTGGGGCCAAGCATCACCTGGCTGCATGGGCTTCCGGCTGGAGGGTGGCGAGTTTGATCCCTGGCCATTGGGCCTGGGGGCGGGGGGCGGGGGGGGGTGGAACTGTTGAGCCTCAGAATCCCTTGGTGCAAACCCCAGGGCTCCAAGCAATCCGAGCGCCGAAAAGTGGCCAAATCGACATCTGCGGCAGGGGCGTGAAGCCGTGAAGATTGCTTCTTGCAGCAAGCCCCCTTGGATATCAGTTGGCAGTGGTTGTCAAAAATAGGGTTACCCCAAAATGGGTTGCCCGATCGGTAAATGGCACCAAGGACTAAAGGCTATTGGTGGTTTAATTTTCACCCACACCCAGTCAGGTGGGGATTCACGTCAAACCAGTGGTTCAAAGCCCTTCGTGTTCACGGGGATATCTGGGGCACCTAGTAGTTCTGCTCTGGACAAGATGAATGCCATGGACATTGAAACCAATTCTCAGTGGAATCCAAGCAGACCACAAAAGACACCTATTGGACACCTATGCCCCTGGGCAACTGTCAAGATCGCTTGTTCCCCAAAAAAGAGTTGTACTGGAACCGAACAACTTGCAACCAGCTCGTGCCATGTAGTTCCAGACACGCTGAGTGGGGGAAATCCCATGGACTTTCGAGCTGGAAGTCTTCGGAAAGAAGCATCTTCAACTTGTGCGGCTGAGCTGGATGGTGGACGGGACACCGAGAGAAGGTGAACAAACCCAATGGTCCGATGCGATTTAGACGGAACATGATGGCAACACCTGGCACTAGAGATATGTCCAAATGCACTCCTTGGCTCTGCGGCTATCTTTGGCTTGTTAACTATATGGTTGCATGCTAGCGCAGTGAGTTCTTGGTAATGTGTGCCTTTAGAGATGACCAACAAGATAACAGAATCACACTTTTCTTCTGGATTTCCCCACATCAACTCAGTCAACCAAGCACAAATGGCTTACCGCGCGATTTCCCTGCTTCCTACGTGCATGATTTGGGTTCATGTCAAAATAAAGGCCCCAACAAATGCATAGGGTGGTTTTTCTTTTGGCGTCCCTTCTACCCAAGCTGAGAAGGGTACCCTCGAATCACATTAAACCATTTCGGGGCTCTCGGTAACCAGTTTCAATTCACAAACGGGAAATAAGGAATCCTCCTAGGAACCTTCATCTAGGTTGAGCCGGTTGAGCTCATTGAATTCCCAATAGGTGACGGTGAGTCAGCTCGCCAGAATTTGGCCGGAAAAACACACACACACACACACACACGCATGCAAACAAACGAACAAACACACAGACAAGCAAGCAAGCAAACAAGCCAGCAAACAAGCAAACAAGCACACAAACAAACAAGCAAGCAAACAAACAAGCAAACAAAAAAGCAAGCGCAGGCAAGCAAGCAAGCAAACAAACAAAGAACAAAGCAAGCAAAAAAAACAAGCAAACAAACAAACAAGCAAACAAGCAGGCAAACAAACAAGCAAACACACAAACAAGCAAGCAAACACACAAACCAGCAACAAGGCAAGCAAACCAGCAAGCACAAACAAGCAAGCAAACACACAAACCAGCAAACAAGCAGGCAAACAAACAAGCAAACACACAAACAAGCAAGCAAACACACAAACCAGCAACAAGGCAAGCAAACCAGCAAGCACAAACAAGCAAGCAAACACACAAACCAGCAAACAAGCAGGCAAACAAACAAGCAAACACACAAACAAGCAAGCAAACACACAAACCAGCAACAAGGCAAGCAAACCAGCAAGCACAAACAAGCAAGCAAACACACAAACCAGCAACAAGGCAAGCAAACCAGCAAGCAAGCAAGCAAGCAAACAAGCAAGCAAAAACACAACAACAAACAAACAAACAAACAAACAAACAAACAAACAAACAAGAAAAACAAACAAACACACAGACAAACAAACAAACAAACAAACAAGCAAGCAAGCACGCAAGCAAACAAAAACAAACAAACACACAAACAAACAAACAAACAAACAAACAAACAAACAAACAAACTGTAACAAACAAACAAACAAACAAACAAACAAACACACAGGCAAACAAACAAACAAACAAACAAACAAACAAACACACACACAACCACAAAAACACAAAACCACACAAACACAAAGAAACAAACAACAAACAAACAAACAACACAAACAAACAAACAAAACAAACAAACAAACAAACAATCAACCAACCAACCAATCGGTCGATCGATCGATCAATCGATCAATCAATCAATCAGTCAGTCAGTCAGTCAGTCAGTCAGTCAGTCAATCAATCAAATCAAATCAAATCAAATCAATCAATCAATCAATCAAGCAAGCAATCAATCGATCAAACAATCAATCAAACCATGAATCAAACAAACCAGCAAACAAACCAGCAAACCAGCAAACCAGCAAACCAGCAAACAAGCATGCACACAAGCAAGCGAGCAAGCAAGCAACCGCAAGGAGCCACTTGAGGAAGCCAGTGTCGCAATTGCTTTGGATCTCACAAACCCGGACAAAACAACTGAACAACACGCACGGCTCTCCTGCGAGGCAAAGGCCTTCGCCTGGCTTTGGTTGTTGCCTTTTCTTCCTTTCATTTTTTTTTTTGCGGGGGGGGGGGGGGGGGGGGGGGTGCTTGTTTTTGTTCCCCCGTTGCCTTTTTGTGAGGTTACCCTTGGTGGTTTGGCAGTGTTATGGTTTGGTTGCTTCTTGGAAGGTTACCGTTAATTGGTTTGGATGGGAGTTCAACCCCTGGCTGTAGAGGTACAGAAAAACCAGCCCAATTAGAACACCGAACCAATCCAAACCAAGAGGAAAGTTGACTTTGGAGGTCTCTTTTTGGTTGGCCTTTGCTTGAAGCTGAAGATTTCTCCGACTCCATTCAAATTGACTTTTGAAAGGAAGGGACCCGACTCGCTGTTTCAGCAACCCATGCTAAACCAACTGAGAACCCCTGGCCTCAAAACAACAAAAGACACACCAGTACCTTCATAGGGTGTAGTAACAAGATGTAGAAATCTTTTTTCATTCGGACCCTTTGGGTGGAGATGCATGTCCACTTGTGACGAGCTTCATAGCCATATGAACATATCATATTATACATGTATCTATATATATATATATATGTATACATAGGCAGTGCGAGTATATATATATATATATACACATTTTAGTGGTACCTTGTCGAGGGCCCCTGCAGGCAGCCAGGAAGCACCCACAACTGGCCCAGCACGCACACCCAGGAGGACCTTCGCAAGGAACCTGCTGACTGCACTTTTGGGGAGAACTCCAAAAAGGGAAATGGCGCAAACCCTTTCTGTCCGACGTAAGGAGAGACCCATATTTTCTGCCCGATTTGTCCAAAACCTTAAAAAAGTGAACTCGTAGACTGCTGTCTGAAGATCCAAGTCATCACATCGTTCGATGTTCAGAACTCTGCCAAGTGAACCAGCTCGAGAAGACTTCCTGAAGAAGTGGCCCACAACTTGCACAAGGAAGAACCAGCACTCTGCTAGGAAGCTCTCAGTCGTTGGCTTCTGTGGCATCACAACAGTAGCTCGACTTCCGAACCGCCATCCATCTGGGTTCTGAACTTCTTGGCAACCAGAGTACTGAGTAGCAAGTGAAGAGACTGAGACTTGGGCAGGCTTTCAGGATCACGCTGAGCTCTTTTGACCCTTTTACCCCAAGCTCGGTATTTGCCCAGGCTCGTCAAGGTACAGGAAACAATTTGGGTGTGTCTTTTCTTGAGGCTAATCCTTTTTTGTGGTTTCACAGGAAAACCAACGGTCCCCGAAAAAAACGACACACCCATTGAGGAAATTATTGAGGACAAAGGACTCCCTCATTGAAATTAGCTCCTGTGAATCTTCAGGGCGGCTCTCATCCTCAGGAAAGAAACGTACGTGATCTTCCCAAAGGTTTTTTCTGGATTCTTAGGAAGTGAGAAGGGCAGGGAGAAAATCTGGTCACATGAGTACATGACAAACAGGTTTCCTCTGTGTTTCCTTGGGCCAGTGGCGGCGTACGTCTCACTTGCACGCAATGTTCCACTTCACGCGAAGCGCGGACCTCACCTGGGTCTTGGAATCTTTCACATCATTCCTCTTGGCAATCCTGGGCAGCGGCATATCCCTAACGAGGGAAGCTTAAACCACTCAAAGGGAAGTACAGGGAGCACTGATGGAATCCGGTAGGACCTACCCCCTACAAAAAGTTAACCCTTTTGGTGGTCGACAACTTCCGTGTTCGAAAAGGTTAATTGTTGGAGGTTGAGGTTGGAACTGTTCGCCACGTTCAAGCTGCTGCTGATTTGCGGCTTTCGTCGCTTCCAAAACATTGAACGTTGCTGGTTGGAAGTTGGAAACGTCGCGTTCCACGGAGATTGAAGTTTTGGTCGGTCATGACCACGTTGTCGGGAAGCTCCGCCATTGATCCAAGGAAATCCAACCGCAAATGACTCCGGGAAGATTATTAGACCATTGAGCCAAAAAATGCCCTGAAGAAAGAAGCAGCGCGAGACCACTTAGCCCCCCCGACAACTGAGTATGAAATCGCAAGCTCATTCAATTCATGCAACATTTTGCTGTTTGGTGGAGATGTGCCACGTTTGAGAAGAGCTAATCGGATGTTTTGCTGCTCAGAAGTTGAACACCTTCGTCATTTTGCACCAAGTCAGATTGCTGCATGTGCAAACAAGTCGTCAATTTCAAAAGCAACGCGCGTGTTGCTGGTTGGTGGTTGGAAACCTTCCTACCTTCCGAAGTCGAACTTTTGCTGGCTGATGGATGAAAACAAGTCAATTGTCTGGTTGGACACTTTCAGCGGAAAGGCTCGAAAAAGGGCGAGAGCCGCGTGGAGTTTGGAAGAGTGACTCTCCCCATTTCCTCCGCTACTATTCCACGGCTTCTCAGCTCATGTATCTTTTGTGGTTGGGGGCGGAATTTTCTAAAGCGAGAAAAGTGCCTATAGGAAGAGCTTGGCTTGTCTTTTTTGGTTTCGCTCTTTCTTTCTTTCTTTCTTTCTGTCTTTCTTTCTGTCTGTCTCTCTTTCTTTCTTTCTTTTTCTTTCTTTCTTTCTTTCTTTCTTTCCTTCTTTCTTTCTCTTTCTCTCTCTCTTTCTTTCTTCTTTCTTTCTTTACTTATTTTTTGCATTTTTTCTCTTTCTCTCTCCCTCTTTCTCTCTCTCTTTCTTTCTTTCATTCTTTCTTCTTTTCTTTCTGTTCTCTAATTCCTTCTTTCTTTCTCTCTCTTTCTTTCTTTGGTTCTTTTTTTCATTCATTCATTCGTTCTTTCTTTCATTCATTCATTCATTCTTTCTTTCTTTCTTTCTTTCTTTTCTTTGAGTACTTTCTTTCCTTTTATCTATCTATCTATCTATCTATCCATCGCCAGGCCTTGCGAGCTTTTGACCTTGCGAAAATGCTGCTCCCACCACTAAATCTGTACTCGACCTATCTAGCTGTCAATCTATCCCCTCACCTTGCGAAAGTGCTGCGCCTGCCACGAAATATGTACTTGACCTTGCGTGGCAGCAAAATGCTGAGCCTGCCACGTGACTTACACCTGAGTCTCTGTTTCTTTTTTTTCTCTCCCTCTCTCTCTGTCTCTCTTCCCATTTGATCTGTCTATCCATCTATCCAGCTATCACCTGACCTTGCGAAAGTGCTGCGCCTGCCACGAAATATGTACTCGACCGTGCGAGAATGCCGCGCCTGCCACGAAATCTGCAACAAACTCTGCACCTCAGGTTGCCAAAGTGCTGCGCCTGCCACGCGGTTTGCACCTCCGAAACAGTCTGCGCGGCCGTGCCAGTGGGCAACTTTTCAAACCCGTGGCGAGACGCGAACCCGTGGCGAACCCGTGGCAAGACCGTGCGCAAAACAGAGGTACCGTTCGCGTTGTTCATGCGCGTGGCGAATTCCACTTTTCGTAGTACGGAAGTTTTGCTCAGAAAGCAAAACCCCAAGGTCTGGATTCTGTCCCAGAAACAAGGGTACGGGTAGAGGGCGGGTAAACGGGAACCTCAGGAAGCCCACAAAATTTTGTGGATGGACGAAATCCGAGACCGCACCACGGTCAATGAAACCGTAATCGTTCCAGGGTTTCTGAATGGGCCAGTTTGTTGGTAAATCTGCCAACCAAAGCACAGGGTTTACTGACAAACAATCTACGAAACAAACAAGTTGGTCGCGGGCTCTCCTGGTGAGTGTGCCGAGTGTCTATCTTTCAAGAGATTCAACTGGCCGCGTGTCTTTTCCTGTAGATTCCAGATCCCCCGCTAAAAGTTTCGTTTTTAGTGGGTTGAATGGAAATGCCCACAAAACACCAAAAAACTCAAAGGCTAAGGGGATGGCTGGGAACCACCAAGTGAATAACATGATACAGGGGTTACCTTTTAGAAAGCGCACTCTCACGGTGTCTGCTTCTGCCTCTGCCATACTGAGAAGGGGCCCGGCATAGTTTTTGCTCATTTGACACCGCACCAATGATAAAATAGGCAGAACCGACTGCAAACCCTGGTAGGTTGGTTAAACAACTCCCTCCAAAAACTGAAGCTCACTTCCTGAGTGGACCGGCCACACAAAGCCCAAACTTGCTGTTTGCCGCCAAAATGGTCCAAACCCAAAAAGTGACTCAAGTCCATTCAGTTGGGGGGTTTAAAGGCACCGCAGCCCGGGGCACAACCCCCCCCTTACTCCAAGCTGCATCTTCGCCTTTCTCGGGTTCTTGGTCTTCGCCTTTCTCGCGTTCTTGATGTCCACGCACTCCGGGTCGAAGCCCACCTCTAATTTTTTGTTGCTTCCTCTGATGGTCTTGAAAAGCACCTGTAGTTTTCTGTGGAAGTTCTATGGACTTGTGGTGGTCTTTGGCCAATGTCCACGATTCTGCTTGGACGGCTATAAAGGTTTACGTGGCGCATGTGTGTGTGGGTGTTTGTTGCCAGATAGCTGAAAGCTACAGGGGTTCTAAATTCAAAGGTGGGTGAGACTGGCCCAGACGCAGAGTTGCGCAGAGAAAAAAAGGCGCGACAAGCAAATCCACCAAAACATTGGCCCTGAGAGGCGCGTTGAGCAAATCCACCAAAACTCCGGCAAGCGAAGGAATGTGCAATACTATACGTGCAGACTTTAGCAAACGAATCGCCGGAGCACGAGCACCCTGTTGTGAGAATTTGGTTGGCGCCAATGCTGGCAAAAAAACCTATGCAGGCTTTGGCAAGCGAATTGCCGGAACAATCTGTTGCGAGACTTGTTTTGCCGTTTTGCCGCGCATGGCATTGTTGTTGCTGTGTTTGGCATGGGCCTCTTTATTTTGTGGGCTGACAACACATTCTTGCTGGGGTCTAATTTTTGAGGGCGCCCTTTTCAAGGCTTGTTTAAAAGCAAACCAAAGCGAAACCGGCCTCACTGTAGCCGTTTCTGTCCTTTTTTTTTGGGAGGGGGGGATGGGTATGAAGGAAGAATTGCATTCGGCATAATTAACTGAATATCCTCTAGCGGACGCACCATTAAACAGAGCGCCAGGTAAAGGCCCTTTCCTGCTGATGGACAAAACACACTTCGAATCAGCTTGGATGGATGAAAGCTTGTGAAACAACAGCACCTTGCTACTCCGGTCCAATCATTTTGAGGTAGGATAAGGGATCTGGGTGGAATCTTGACGGCTATTCTGTGTGCCTGAGTGCCTGACCAAGTGCCTGCCTGAGTGACTGTGACCGAGTGGCCGAGTGGCAGTGGCTGAGCAGATGAGTGACTCAGCGGCCGAACGGCTGAGTGTCTGATTGGCCACGTGGCTGTGGCTGAGCGACGCTTTTCGAAACAATTGCCCATGCAGCGTTGTGCGGCGTTACTTGCGCAGTGCTTGGATGTACCTGTGGCTGGGGCTGTGCTTGATCTTGCGGACTCCTGCTCAGCCAACTTCCTGGTTTCCTTTTGGTGGCCGAGGCATGATACGGCCTACTTTTTTGTCCGCAACATTCCGCAATGAAATCCGATCACATCGCGACGCCAAACAAACAAATGCAATGGGAGAACAGGGTGCTTGGATGGGCGGTCGAAGTCCTTTGAGCTCCAATCATCTCCTGTGTTGTTGGTTTGAGCATTGGCCACCGGTGGGGGCTCAAAAAGGCCCAGGCCTGTCTCCCTGCAAGTAGTCTTCTCCAAACAAGGCTTGCTCACTGGCACTCACTGCCGCAAATTCTGGGCCGACAAACTCCGATCAGCACAAGTGAGCCGAGAGACTCCACCTCCATTCCAGCCTGGGTGTGCATGTTGCAGCTTCTGCACAAAGTTGTCGTCGTTTTTCTCGCAAAGTCTGCGCTTACCACCCCCCTTCGAAAAAGCAGCCCTGTACCGTAGCCGAGGCAATTGTCAAATTTGTAAGCTGCGCATCGGTGACTAGCTTCTGCGTGGTTGAGGGAGCTGGGCAAAGATGATTCGGCCGTGTCTGACGTAGTTGATGAAACAATCCGCGGAGGAGCTCGTGGCAGCAAGTCCGAGAGACCTGCAGGTCGCCTCAGTCAAATTTGGGGGCCAACCCCAACTCCACAAACGTGCGCCTTTCAAAAACCCGCCAGCAAGCACCGCAAGCATGTCAGCGTTGCGCACGCCGGAGCGTACATCTGATGCTCCTTAAAGCTGAGCGGGAGGCTGGTGAGACATCGGACATCGGCAAACTTCGAAGCCCCTCCGCCACACTGTCTGCACCTGGACAAGCAGTTTCCATCGCGTAGCCCAATGCGCCTTGAATTGATTAGCCATGGTGCTGCTGGCATTGCGCAATAGGGATCTTGGAGCTTTGCCCAAGGCGTGTAATCTGCTGGCAAAAGTACTGCAAGCTGCGCAACACTTCCAGGCCTCCTCATATCTGTCCTGGTCAAAACTGCATGGCACGAAGCGCAGATCTAGCATGGAAGGCGCTGATGATGCGCTTTGCTATGTGTGTGAAATTGCGGGGGTGGGGGCGGCGAGCGGCCAATAGTTACGCCATGCGTGGCGCAAATCACGCGCGGTCGCGCAGTGTGCGTGAGTGCGCCTGCGTGTTGAAGTGTAGGTGATCCAGGCACGTCGCGAGCGGGAGTCTTGACATCGTGTTACATCCAAGGAAAGCCGTACAGCGCTTCACGGGCATTTGTCTCGGTAAGCATTGCTCAGCCACTCAGGCCGCTCCGCCACTCAGCTACTCGACCACTCAGGCCGCTCAGACGCTCAGCCACTTGACCACTCAGCCACTCAGCCACTCAGCCACTCAGCCACTCAGCCACCCAGCCACTCAGCTTGAGTGGCTGAGTGGCTGCCTGAAAAAGATCCACCAATATGACGTCTAATCTGGGATTGGTTAAAGGGAACCCAATTCAGAACGGGGTCTGATTTTGTCCTGAACGCCGAGGTACAGGGAACCAAACAATGAAATCACACACACACACACTCATTTCATGGCCTCTTTTAGGATACACCCACTTGGGATATCTCGCACTAAAGTGGCAATGATATTGCCGCTTGCACACCTGAAGGCACGCCAGGATGCTTCATGGGGTAACACATGGGTTGATGCGCGGGCTGCTTTCGCGCGAAAAATGAAGAGCAGTCTGCCAAACGGGTCCATGCACCAGGCCATGTTGGTAGGGGAGATCAACAAAAACCATGGAAAAGATTGTCCTGGTTTCCATGCGGAAAGCCCGTTTTTGTTGGGAAAACCCAAAAGCAATGCCCCATGAATCAAAAAGCGCTTTGACAGCGGCCTGAAAAGGGGGTTCGGCCGGCAAAGCCCCGGAAAAGCCCAACCCACAGCCAGAAGAATCCCCTCAGTTCAGAAATCCGGCTTGCGTTGCCAAAGGGCAACTTTGGGTTTGGGTTGCACCGAACACCGTGAAGAGTAAACAAATGTTCCAGATTGACAGTTTCTAGTGGGAACCCACCAATGAAAACATCTAGGCACGTATCTCAAGACAATCAGACAGGGGAACCCCCAACAAGGCAGGTGTCCTTTTGGCTTCCTTTGCAGGAAAACACACACAAAAGGGATATCGAACAAAGCCACCAAAGCCACGTGCCACTGAGCTTGGACAATGACAACAACAACGTGCCGGTGCGCCTCGTCCAGTCTTGTGGCACTCACCTCCCAATGGATGCCCTTATCAACCTCGATCTTCACGCCCGTGGTGTTGCGGCTGATGTACTGCGTGCCGTTCTGCTTCTTGTAGAACCTGGCCACCCAGATCGAAGCCTTGAGCAAGAACAAAGGAAAAGCCAGGGCTCGAACATTGTCAAATACCATTTTTGGTGTGGTTTGAAAGGGAACCCAGAAGGAAAACCGCAATTTTTTGCACCTTTGGGGGGCTCCCCGATTTTGAGGCACAGCCAACTATCCCAATGCCAAGCTGTCAACCTCCGGCATGGCTTGACAGCGCTAGCTTTTTCTTCTGTGTTTCTTCATCTGGCAAACGAGACGCTGCCAAAACGCGCTCGTTAGCTGGCGAGTTAGCTCCCTAGCGAAATGGGGAGTTTGGCTGGCGGGCTGGCAAGCGCGATTACATAGTCAAGTCGCCGGCTAGTTGTACATTTTACTAGTTTGCAGTCAGGAGAGTACAGCTAGCCAGCCAAGTGCGAGAGCTAGCTAAATCGCTGGCCGGTTAGCTAGTACTTCGGTAGTCAGCTAGCCAGCTGGGTGGTTGGTGATTAGCTAGCTAGCTAACTGGTTGGGTGGTTGGTAGGTGGGTGGGTGAGTGGGTGGGTGAGTGGGTGGGTTGGTTGGATGGCTGGCTGGTTCGCTAGTTTGTTAGTTGGTGGGTTGGTCGGTCGGTTGGTCAATTGAGGAATGAGTTTTTGACAGTCGACCTGCCCAAAGCCCGCAAAGGCTTATGTGAGCCAATTGAAGAAAGTGAAGAAACCAATTGTTGCTGAAGGTCGACCAACCCGAAGTCCGCAGAAGAGCCAGCTTCCTTCAGGCGTCGCGACTGAGTTGTTCTATACCTCGATCTCGCATGCATGTTGCTGGTTTTCCTTCGCTGTGGCACACATTTCTAAGCGACAGCAAAGCTTAAAACTACCTCGTCCCCCATCGTTTCATGGAATGTTGTGCTGCAAAAACCCTTTTAGTCAGAGGCTAACGCCATACCCTGAAACAAATTGGCATTTGGAGAGGGGATAAGCAAGGATGGGGACGCATGTCTTTCGTACAATCAGCATCTTAGCTTCTGCCACACCCATCGTCTAGTCTCATCGTGTAGTTGATGACCCAACTGACTGGCTTCTGCGTGTATCCAAGGGGCTTATTCTTGGAGTTGTTTCGGGGGATGTCGGATGTTCTAAGACAGGTGAATCCTTGCGAAGGGAATGTGGGATTTGCGCTACAACACACACACACACACATGCATGGCGTCAGATCCATATTCCTGTTTCCGGAACACACCAACACCAACGGTCACCGACGACATAACCAGGACCTTTTGACTAGGTCCTCTAGTAGAGAGGTTAGAATAAGGGTACCAGCTTTTTCTGTAGTCTATTGTAGTAGGGGACCCTCCCCCAAAAAGGGGTGAGAAAGGGCACGACTGGGGGACCTAGCATAACTCCTTGCAAGGACCTTTTGATAAAACCCAGGGTTTCTAACTGAATGACCCACAAACCCAGATGGTCCAAGTAGCTTCTGAGGTACTTAGACCCCTTCTTACCCCCCAAAAGCCATCCTCATAAGGTACTTGGACCTGCGAAAACGAGGGCCGAGGGCCCCTCTCGAGGCGCCTCTTCTCGAAGCGCACCCGCCGTGGGAAGGGAATCTTCTGGTTGATCGGGCGGCTGGAGTGGCCTCGAACGGATCGTTTGGTTTCAACGGACGGATCGTTTTTTGGTCCAAAAATTAGCTCAAGCGGGTCTAAGGATGTGTCTATGAATCAAAAAAGTATGTCTCAAATGGGTCCAAGTATATCTCTGTTGGTCAAAAAAGTAGCTCTCAAATGGGTCCAAGTATGCAGATTCCATAGGCATGGGATGGGTCCAAGTATGTCTCAGAGTCCAAGGGACAAGAGTGCCGTCTGGACCCTTTTCCTGGGCTGGGAGTGCTTCTGGAACGCCGGAAGGCGAAGTGGTCTTGGCGTTCACTCCCTGAGCAGTTGTTGTTTTTTTAGTGGGGGGTGTCTTCCTTCTTTTTTTAGTCGGGGGTTTCCTCCCCTGGGTGTTTTGCACCATGTGTTTACACAATCCATGCTTTAGCAGTCAAAGCACGATTCAGTTTATATATATATATATTATTTTAAAGCTGGAGAAGAGAAGATGACAATACGTCCACTCTATATCCTTTCCTCTCTTCATCATCCATCTGCGAGGAATGGGATTAATGGGATAGGGGATGGCAGCGGAAGGACTGACTCTCCAAGCCATCTCTTCAAGAATCCCGTTTGCCATCTCTCAGCGAATAGCAGCCAACTGACGCTCCAGAAGAAGAAACACAGCAACAATGTTGGCGTGTCTCCCTCTATAGGTGTCTCTTTTTTTAAGGGGACCCCAAACAAATGTTGGTCGCCTGTTGGTTTCCATTTAAAGCCACACAAAAAAAGGGTTCCCTCAAAAAGGGACAGACCCCTGGCCGTTCAAAGCATTCCACCAAATGTGGAGGGAATGTCCTCTAAAATCTCTTCCCCGCTGGTTCCCCTCTGGACAGCCAGGGTTGGGCCAGCCCCGCTCCGGAAAAGGATATCGCTCACATGTGCATGTACCTATTGAACCCCAAAGAAGCTAAATGAGTGAGAGAGAAGGATTTGTCATAGCACTGAAGCCCAGGAACTCAGGAAGTATGGTTGCTGCTCCCTCTCTGCTTCCTTTTCAATTATCGCTCTTGTGTTAGAAGCTTGGATCAAACGAAATTTCCGAGAGAGAAGGAAGGCGACCTCACGTAAAGTGTGGAAATAGTTAAACTGATGAACGGTCAGAAACACAAGATAGAACAGCTACAACGAGATACATCATAAACAGCAACACACGATCATGATCATGACAATCGCAAGTGATGAGCATAAGACCATATTGCATATATATATATATGTTTATATATAAATATATATATATATATATCGTTCTGTATCGCTTTTGCAATACATTTTATATCGTCACTTTGTAAACCCTGATTGGTTCGCAGGAGAGTTGCCCTGGATTGGTAGTTGAGAAGTATACCGTGTCCCCCATGACCCTGCCAAAAATGAGACGCTCTAAGCTATACTCTGCTTGTTTGCCTGGCAACTGCTTGTTGACTTATTTGGATTGCCCAAATGAAGGCAGGGTAACAGCACGCTCGTTTCTCGCGGTGCTGGCCTGTCGATCTGATGGATTCAACCTCTGGGAACTTTGCTTTGGGATCCAAAAGGGTTTACCCGACCATCCACTGACATGGGGGGTCCTGGATGGAAGACCAGTTTCCTCCAAAAGGGACCCTCTGGTGGGTTCCATGATAGTGACCAAAGGGTTTAAAGGTTCCTGAAAAAACATACGGGGGTTGATCAAAAGGCACATGGGAAAGGTTGCCCATGGTCATTTATAACCGAACGGCATGTAGATCAAGCCCGATACTTCGCACACATCGGTTCGCCCGAATCAGATCGCGGCCCCTCTCTTCCGCGCCTCCCACGGCGTACCATTCAGTGCGGGCGAGGTCCAGATCCTGGCTACGCGCCCGAGTGTCCCAGACCCCCAAAAAATCACTTCCATGGCCGATAGTTCCCTTACCTCGGTTGCGTTTCGCTCCCCTGCTAAAAGTTTAACTTTTAGTGGCTGAATGGAAAACCACTTCGTGGCAAAAGTTAAAGTCCTAACATCCAAGCAAAATGCACAAAATGCACCAAAGTTACGCAGTGGTAGTTATGCATTGTTCCATCGCAGGGAAACCATGGATATCGGGATATAAGGTTCTTCATTGGATGTGGACACGAAGAGTAGTAGGGATACCTCCTCCGCAGGTGGCTGGGCAAGGGGTAATGGGCCGACCTCTCGGTTTACTTGCATACCAAAACCGCACCCCTCAAGGAAAACCGGAGAAAGGATTGAAAAAGAAGCGCTGCACTCAAGCCCACTTCTGGGATAGATGAAGCTCTCCGACTTCTGGATATTTTTTTTTATCACCTGAAAGATACATTTCGTCTTGAAGGGACCCTTCGTCAGGTGCCATGCTGGGAGAAAGCCCAAACCTTGCCGAGGCCTTGCGACGGTTTGCTTTGTTCGCAGGAAGCTGGAGTTTGCCCGATTTGGCGGCTCATCCCCTTGCAGTCTGCCTCTCAACTCTCAATCAATGGGGGTTGTACAAAACTACTTTGCCTAGAGACCCCCAATCGCCGGCCTTTCGCGGCTCGAGTTGTCCCAATCGCGCGGTTCAACAAGTTGCCGCTGTTCATAAAGTTTAGACATGTAATTACGAACGGCCCCCAAATGGACAATGTCATGGGACAAATGCTTGTAAATATTGTCGAATGGCCGCTTGCGCCATTCAGCTCCACAAGTGATTGGGACAAGTGCAGTTGGCACCCCCATCGGCCAATCGCGCAGGTGATGCATTTTGGGATTGGTCTAGAACTTGCGTAATAGTGGGTCTTTTAAAGTGACATACTTTGAAATGTCAATGCAAAATGGTGGGTTGATAAATCACTTCTCCTCTTTAGGGAACAGGGCTTGGCATACGGCTATGCGGTGAGTTCTCATTCTTCGGCAATCCAAACTGAGCAGCGCCCACGACCCAGTAACTGTTCGTTCTACCAATATGCTTGCGAAGACTTGTATATACTAGTTGGGAGCAACTTGCTACTGTGGGTGGACGAAATCTTGCACCGCTTTGAAACCAAGGGAAACCATGGTTTGTTGGTATTTACAGGGAATCATCATTCCAGGGTTTCTTAGGTGGTGCAGGATTTCGTCCATCCACGGTATGAAGTGCATGAAGCCAAGGAGAACAACGTACTAACATGGCCGCAAGCTCATTGGCACAGAAAACCTCTATTTGTTGTTTGCATCTGACCTGCGAATGCCCTGCCCTTTTCTTCGGAGTGTATTGTTTGGGACCCGGGACCAGTCGTTCTTGGGTTTGGGTAGAGCCTCCAACCACCCGCCTTTGGTTTGCCGGTATACCTCTTAGTCTCAAAAGGCCAAGCCTTCATGAGGGCTTAATGAGGGCTTAATAAGCGCGTATTCGGGCTCCCTCCCCCCCGCCTCCCTCCCCCCCAGACCCCACCAAAATGGAATAACACCAATCTAAACCAGTGGAACCCATCTATTTCTAACCAAACTCACCGATCAAAAGGACACCTTGGTCGGAAAGTCTGCTGGCCAGTTAAAAGCTTGCTTCGGTGGCAGCATCAAACAGGTGAGTTGCAGAAGGATCCGTAGGAAGCGGTGGTCCAGCAAAAAACTCATGTCCGTGAGATTCGCCTGGGGGTGTTCAATTGGGAGACACCCCCACCCCCCACCCCCCCACCCCCCGAAAAAAGAAGCAAAAACCGTGTTTTTCCTTTGGTTTCTCCTGAACAAAACCTTCAAAAGCCCAGAAAGGGTTCCGACAAATTCAAGCCTTTGAATCGACCCAGCACCGATCCTCGTTCTCGATCATCCACTGAGACAAAGTGGGCCGCTCCTTGCGGCGAAAGTCGGCGTCAATGGAAACATCTGCTTCAACCAGCATCCGCCGACCTGAAACAAGTTCCTCTGAGGGGTTTTCGGGCCGGTTGGTACATCCTCATGCCGAGGGAACCCTGAAAAAAATCCGGAGGCCCAGATTCAGAAACCGTAATTTTCCGCAGTCATTCATCAGGGGTTTCCCAGAAAGGAATCCTGACAAGGGGCCCCAAGGAAATCCTCCTAGAGGAGCACTCGAATCAGGGGTGAACATCTGGTTTGTCTTAGGGTGGGACCTGCTGGTTGGTGAGTGCGCGGTCTGAAGGATAAGCCGCAAACAGGACAAGCGTGAACATGAAATCCTCTATCCACCAGGCTTGGCGTTGTTAATTTGGGTCCGTATGGGTTATCAGGCGATCTATTCGCGTTGAAAGGAACACATCTTCGGTGAATATGGTTCGACAGAGAGTCAACATTAAAAGGAACGCCATCAAGCAAACGAAAAGCAAAAGAAGCAACAAACACCACCATGAATCCAGAGCAACACAGTCTCTTGCTTTCCCCATTGAAGAAACGACAAATACGTGTGTGGCACCAACAGGACCCCAAACTCCCCGACAATTTTGCACCCCTTGCACCCGTGGCAAAATAATAACAATGAACAAACCAACACTCGCTCAACTTTTGTGGTTAACAAACAAAAAAGAACAACTTTTTGGTCACCACCACCTTCGTTCACTCATGGACTCCTCGGGGGGCGATAGGAGCGATGGGGGGGGGGATTTATTTCGGGATTTGTTTTGCATTTTTGGGGATTTGCTTTTTCGTTTTTCATCCGGGCCAGTAAAATGTCCTATTTTACCGCATTTTCTCGCAGTTGACGTGTTTTACACTAACCCGTCAACATCCCCAGCATCGTTTTCAACATCCCCCGCATGTCCGACCAGACCAACATCCCCAGCATCACCAACAAATCGTGGGTAACAAAATCTAAAAAGTAGCTGGCGGGTTAGCGGGGTCGAAAAAATGATGATTCATATAGGAGGGCACTTGAATCCCACTAAAAAGTAGCGGGGGAGGGGGGGGTTGGGGGCGGCGGCAGCCCCCCCATGATGTTTCAAGAAGTGATGATTCCAATAGGGGTGCAATGATTCAAGAAAGGGTGCGATGGAATATACAAAGCAGCGGGAGGGTTGGTGGGGGTGGCTGCCCCTATGATGATCGAAGAAGGGCATACATACAGACATACATAGAATACATGTTGGTTGTATATTCCTGCTTTTTCTCGCGAAATTGGATGCTCGCAAAAGTGATTCAATTAGGGCTGCAATTAAATATCTGCAAGAAATCTAAAAAGTAGTGGGGGGGGGGGGGGTTGGGGGGGAGGCGGCCCCCGCCCCATGATGCTTGAAGAAGTAATGATTCAAATAGGGGTGCTCTGCAAACAATCTAAAAAGTAGCGGGGAGGTTTGGGGGGGCGTCCCCCCCTTGATGTTCGAAGAAGTGATGTGAGGATGCGGGAAGCCAAAGCCAACAACCAATGAAAGGTGCAAAAGCCAACAAGCCCGGAGGGAACTGGAAAAGCAGAGGATGCGAAAGGCCAAAGCCAAAAAGTCACCAAAAGACCAAAAGCCGTACAAACCAACAAGAAGCCGAAAAGCCAAGAAGCCGAGAAGCCAAAAAGCCAAGAAGCCGAGAAGCCAAGAAGCCAAGAAGCCAAAAGCGAGAAGAAGAACAAAAAATCCCCCCCCCCTCAAAAAAGGGGAAACACACCTAAAACAAAAATACCCCTCCATAGCATGGGGGGGAGGGGAAGGTCTGAGGTCCCGAGGTCCGCGCCGGGAAGTCGAGGGCCTTCTCCCCGGCGATCTTCAGAGGCTCCTGAGGCGAAAGGCTCCCGAGGACCGCAACGGGATGGCGCTTGGCGTGTCGCAAAACCACGAGGCTGACATAACAGAACGTTAAAAAACATGTAAATATATATATATATATGTATGTATTATCTATACATACATATATATATATATAACAGGCATACTTGCTTTGTTAAAGAATAAAGACCCAATGTTGGTTGCATTTGGGATTTGGGTGTCGTTTTTTGAGGCTCGGTACCCTGTTTGGGCTGGCTTTGAAGGGAAACCTCAATGAAACACAACCCTTTTTGGCCGACGCCCCCATTTGCCCTTTGGTTGCTGCTTTTCTGTACGGTGGATGGACAAAATCCACGGAATGCGCCAGAATTGGAGTTCGGTTGTCCCGTGATCCGTCGCATCCGTTGCATCCCTGCCGGTGGACTGTACTCATCCACAGGGGAGGAGCCCCTCTGGTACCCAAAGCCAGCACCCGAAAGGTTCGCTATTTGAGCTTTCTGATCCGGATGGGAGGGGTCTCTCGTCCCTAAGAAAGCTCCTCAAGCGAGCCTGTTTCGCCCTCTCGCCATGGAACAAATCAAGGCGCGAGTGGAAGGCCAAACATCTGCCGGAAGTGCCCAAACCATGAGCATGCTGGCAGCAAAGAAGCGTAAGTTGAAACCCTCAGCAGAGGCCGTACTGCCCAGCGCTGTAAATGTCTCTTAACATGATCTTGGTCGACGTTGGAAAGGGAGCAAAAACATCATTTTTTTAGCAGTCAAGTAGGGATTTCAACCACTAAACAATAAGCAAAAATGTAAAATGTTTCCCAACAACCATGTGATGGTGGAAAGAACGACGGGGCCTTGATGGCTCGGGGCTCCCTCCGATTTGGGGTTTCCCAAATACACACAGCATCTAGGTGCTTAGTAGACCTGGACTTGGCCTACGGCGATCACACGCACAACTCATCTGCATTCGGGTTCGTGGCTATCAGGTTTTTGTTGACCTTGGGGAAGTTAGCAGTGAATTGCCAAATGATCTGTGAGCGGACTCCAGGTAACCGTTGGTCATGGGCCTGCCATCTATCCAGAATGACTAGATTTGTCACAAATGATGGGACACTCCAAATTAATGAACCAGTCCTGTAGAAATTCACATAACAACCTGAGTTTCTATTACCTGCCCCCTTCGGCTTCCAGTTTCTCAAGGACCATCAGGTGTCCATTTGGGCAAAAAACGCATCCGCGCTTCCGAAACGATCTCCGCGAATTGGGCGAAACCCGCCGGCGAAACGGCGTCCGAGTTCGAATCCATTCCCATCTGCTTAATTAAGCCCGCTGGAGAAAAAAAAACTAAAACATGTCCAGTAGTGATTGGTTCCCTTTAAAACAAGAAAGGAACAACTACCCTCCCAACCAAAAAAGAAACGGTGAGAAAGGGCACCTAGCTGGGGGACCTAGAATAACAAGAATTCTTAAGCAACTGGACGAGGGCGTCGCCTGCTTCTTGTCCGCAAGCTCCTGTTGCTTCAGGAAAGTCTTGGCCAGCGCCTGGCGGATTTCTTCTTGTTCTGAAATGAAGCGCCTCCCTGGAAAAGGGAACTTCTACACCAGGGCTGCTTATTTATCCAAGTGGGAAAGGCAAACCGTGGAAAGCTTTGCCACCTCCTAATGCCTTTTCCGCATCGTGGAAAGGGGCCTAGAGTACAAATTCGCGTGGTTGAAACAGGGGTCAAAGGGGGTACTCTATGGCAAGAGTCTGACACATCCACTTACGCCGGAAGAGAGCCTCCTGCAACGAAGTGGTTGGAACCAACTCGAACAACACCTCCCAATCACGGCCCAAAGTGCTGCACCTGCCACGAAACGACGCACTGATTGCGTACTCCAATTATGCATGTAAAAGTAGCCCCCAGGACTGCACGGCAGCAACATGCGTCGCCTCGCGAAAGCATTGGAGACATGAGAAACGCCGTGAACCTACCAACAAAAACATGCTTTGACAATCAGGCACACCATGAAGCGCAACTCCCAACACCAGGCGCACCGCGCCATCCAGACACGACCGTACCCTCGTGCCGCACTTCTATTCATTTCGCACCACCTTCGAAACGTGAATGATGATTCCGGTGTAACAATGGTTTCAACCATGGCTTCCAATTGAAACCTTTAGCTTTCCCTTTGGCTTCCCCTGAAACCAATGTGAAAAGGGGAAGCCTCAGAAAAAGCACAAGCCCATTCTGGCCTTTTCAAACCTGCCAGCCAGGCAATACGGTACTGCCACTCGTACTTGCTGCCGGCTGAGGGTCTCTTCTTCCGGAATTTCTGGCGCGGGCGATGCGCAAGGTCTCCAAATGGCGAACCTCGTTTTGGTTGTTTCAGGCGACCACAGGGAAACGTGCTTTTTCTCGGGGTCCCCTGTTTTGAGCAACACCTACATGGCGCAGGGGACTCCCGCAGACTGCCAAGAACGGCTATCTGGGCTCCAAAAAAGGTACTCCGATCTCTCTTTGGGGCCCTGTGCATGCTTGATCCTTGGTCCGCTTTTCGGACGAGCTATTGGGGGGGGGGGAGTTATTTCTGGATAAAGCCTAGAATGAAGACCTTGATAGGGCCTTAGTAAGGGGCAAACATTGGAGCTTTCGAAGTCGCGTGGCGCTTGCTTGCATTCCCCCATCATGCTGTGCTGCAGACCTCCATACAGGTACGCCAAACTGTTCAAAGGCATGGCTGTTCGCCTTTCCCACAAAATGGAGTAGGTCATTCGATACACGCGTTTCTCAAAATGTGTGTTGTTAGTATCATTACCATTATTATCATCGTTATTATGGTCATTGTTATCATTATTGTCATTATCATTATTAAATTATGTTCATGTTTACTATCGTTATAACAAGTCAAGGGCAAACCTAAAGGACATCCACCTAAACGAGTCCAACTCATTTCGGGGAAAAAAAGAAAGAAAGAGAGAACACCTTTTCTACTCAGAGGATCGTTAAAGTCCAGAAACTGGCGAAGTGAAGCAATTTTGTTTGTTTCCAAGAGCCTCACTTGGCAGCTGGGGTGTCGGCAAAAGCGCTGGCCTTTTTCCCGTCCTGGTTCCATGTCTACCCACCTTTGAACGGAGTCGAGTGAAGCTAACAATCTCCATTCTATAGGCTGATTCCTTATTCTTTTCAATTATCGTTCTTTCTAATAAACAATGGTTTTCGCTGGGTTTCCGGAGGTTTTCTGGAAAGAAGGATCCCTGGAAAGAATGGAGAAGGTATCCCTAGATCCATGATGGCGACAACCGCCAGAAAAAAGGGCGTTGTTTGTTGCCTACCAGTATGCAAAACGAGTTGAGGTTCAAAGGGAAAACAACAAGTGCCTTTTGCAACTAAGCAAACACCAAGAAAAGCGTCTGTGGACCAAGCGAATAGTTTGGTGCAGCGTCTGAAGTCCCCCACATCTCCTCAAAACAGGAGCGCGTGTCCTTCTGAATTCCCTCTAACCCAACCCATCAAGACATAAGCAAAAACATGTTTTGACACGGACTTGCGATTCTGGCCAGCCCGCCTCCATCCGATGGTGCATCATCATCTTGCGCCTGAGCAAATATTGCAACGAAAAAACAACAACAGTTGAGTCAAACTGGGTGGTTGCCCCCTAGATGCTACAACAACACCTTGATTTGTCGTGAGGGATTTGGGTGGGGCCCTCATCTCCACCACCGTTTCCCATCAAGCAGAGTCTATCGCGTCTCCCTTGCTTGTCTGGGAAAGTTGTCATCGCCGTCCAGGAATTCATTGTCTGCCTGAGTTGGTGGCTTAGCCCAAAAACCTGGGGTACACAGAAAGTAGGTTCTGTGTCTGCTTCACATTCAGCCCAGCCTAAAATAGAACATCGTTTTGAGGGAGACCCCCATGTGATGCTTGCTCAAAAACCTGCCGGGGCAGGAATGAGAGTGATTCTCAAAACCTGGTGTGAAAGCATTCTGCCCAAATACTGTGGACGAGATCCATTTCGCACCACCGTTCAGAAACCCTAGAATGATGATTTCCGTGAAAAGACCCAGCAACAATGGCTTCAGCCATGGTTTGTGGCGCGAACGGATTTTCGCAACCGCCCACAGTGGTAAGACTCCATCTCCAGTCTCTCGGTCTCTCAGTGGCGAAGCAGCAAGGTATCCGCGCTGGCTCGAGCCAACCTCAAACCCATGGCGGCCATAGGGCGGCCAGAGGCACCGCGTGTGTTTGGTATCCCCCCCCCCGCCCCCCGGCCCCCCACCCCAAAACAAAAAAACAAAAACAAAGAAAAAGAAGAAGGAAGCCGGGGTGGTATCCCCAAGAGCTCCTGAAGCTTCTGGAAACCTTTAGAACCCTCCCTGAAAGAAAGTGGCAACCCAGACCACTCCTCGCCTACCCCATAGCTTTCGCCTGTTTTCGGAGAAACAACAACTTCCCCTCTAACCCAAACCCCTAGAGAGACCTAACCCTCGAACCTTCGGGGCAAAACAAATCCTTCCACCCCCTTCCCCCGCTGCCATGTCCTTACAGAAATCCCGGTAGCTCCTTGGCTCCCTCTTTCAAAGCAACTTTGGATACCTGGTCCCTACTCCCTAAGGGCTCCCTTAAAATGGCGGACATCAGAATTCGGTGAAACTTCAGGTCCACCACCCACTTTTGGATCCGTGGTTCATGAAAATGCATAATGTTGACCCCAGTTTATTCATAGGGGTGTGCGCGTTTCCAGCCCTTTGGCCAGCCACGGCCGTGGCAGGGCCATCAGCGTGCTTGCCGAGCGCGTGATGAGTTTGCTGCCATTGGCTGGCAGGGCGCCGTCCGGCGGTGCCGCTGACAGGCGCAGGTGCCGATGGCCTAGCGCGTGGCGTCACCTCCTCATTTTCACTTGAAGACTGCTGCTGTGGCCATTGTGGCATCATTGGCGTCATCATCTGATGCTGCCTCCTGCTCTTGTGTGCGCGGCGGGGCTCCCCTCCACAAGTGGTCTGATTCCCCACATTTCAGGGAGAAGCCCCCCCGCTACAAATAAACAGGTTGGTTGAAAAATACAGGGCTCAACATTCTAAACACTAAACACATCCCCCCCACCCACCCCCACCCACCCCCCCCTTCCCCCAACCCAACAAAGGCAGCGTTGAAATTGATATCCCCCCATCCACCCTCCCCAGAACCCCCCCCCACCCTTCCCCCGCACCCCCTTCCCCCGAGGCCACCGGCGACTCGACGATGCTCTCATGCAGCTCCGCCGCGCTCTTCGTGCGCATCTCCTCGCGGATCCGCGCCTCGGAGTTGACGAGCCGCGAGCGTCGAGCGTCGAGCCGCGAGGCGCGAGCCGCGAGCCGCTTCCGCGACGCGCGGAGACACACGCGGGGGCGGAAACGCGGCCGGGGCAACAAAAACGGGGGGGGAGGGGAGGGGGGACCAAGCCGTGGGGGTGGGTGTTTGTTGGTTGAGTCCTTGTGGCTGGGCCTTTTTGTGGGTGGGTGTTTTTGTTTTGCCCCAGTCTAAAAATTGTTCTTGTCCTTTGCGGGCCTTTGCTTTGACTTCCCTTGAAAACCAACAAAAAAACCGTTTGGTGGGGACACCAGTGCAACGAAAGTGAACCATCTGGCACAAGAATTTCGATTTTTTGCTTTGAGGGACCTGAGTAGATCCCCACCCACCCCCCGGCGTTTGAGGGTAAGGAGAATTCAGGACAGAATCTTTACCGATGGTCCGAGCCCAAACCCTCCCGGATGTGATTTTGTGGGTTTCACGGGGGGATTCAAGGAGGCCCTTTCTGCTCTGTGAGCATTGTGATGCCGCTGAAGTGGCACTGGCACTATCACGAAGGCCCACAAAATCCGACCTGCCTCATGTTGGGGGCGACCTAAAAACAAGGCGATTGATTTTGGGCCATGAGTGTGCGCCACAGATTGTGAACCAGGACGTCACCAGGGTCGATTTGCTTGGGGTATGTCCCAAAAAAGAGTCCAACCCATTTCGACACCCACGTAGATGCCCTGCGAGGCTTGAGCGTGGATAAATGCTGCAAATCTTTCAGCTGGAATCCAGCCGACTTGGGAGATATTGAGTAACGGTCGTGTCAAGTTGCACTGGATGTCCAATGGTGCTCAAATGAGCGTGTCCCATGTCATCGCTCACAAGGCGCCCACTGAAATTACTGGACTGAGACGCCCTGCCAGTCAACTTCTTGCTGGCCGAAAGGCCAAAAGGGAAGAAGCAAGGCAAAACGTTGAACAGCTATGCCAAGTCTGGCAAGGACTAGAGGGCCCAAATGCACTATATCAAGAGAGGTGCGAACAAAAACACCCACGTAGGTTGTCTGTTTCCAGATCCATATCCATGACATCTGATCCAGTTCAATGCCAGAAACTCTGCCTGCAAAGCCCGGCCGATTTTGGACTTTCTTCACCAAGACGTGTCTCCGCAAAATGGATTTGCGCTGGCGCGGGACATGACACAAACATATGTGATTCCGAAGGGATGCATTCCTTGGCCTGCTCGTCAGATTAACAGGGATTGCTATCAAAAGAAAATGGCAATCCCTTAGCCATCTTTCCCACACCGCAAAAGAGGTACGCCCAAAGTGGGAGTACTTTGTCCAGCGAAAGACCATCCTGAAAGATCATCTTGAACCACCATCCTGAAAGACACTCCCAAGGCATGATGCCTCCTGAAAGACCCATACGAGGCAAGGGATGTGAAAAAGACCGGCCACCGCGTTTCTCCCCAGCCATGGCGCGTGTGCATAGCCGCCGTGGGACACGCCCCGCACGACGCTGGGCTCGCGCACCTGGCCGCTGGCCGGACCAGGTAGGGCCCACTGGACAGAACATCATACCTTTAGAATCTTCTGGCAAAACACTTTTATTTATAACTACTGTATAATGCGTTTATCAAGAACATGGCCGTCAGCCGCTCAGGCGAGACTTTATAACGGTGCTGGGTGGCCCTCCCAACTAACATGGATGTGCACAAAGCCCCAATCCAAAAGTAGTACTTCTACAGGGGTCTGTGCACTTCCAGGTTAGGCGGCGGGGGGATATCTGTTTTTGATGGTACCTTTTTGTTGTGGTTTTGAAAGGACACCAAGAGGAACCCCACCATTGTGGGAGGTCCAACGTAAGAAAGAGACATGCATATTTCTTACAAAGGACCTGGAAACAACAGGTAGACCTTTCCGGGCCATGACTACAAGTGGATCAGAATAAGCAAAAAGTCACAAGGTCGGCTTTGGACAAGTGAGATTTGGCCTACCCAAAAATGTAAACCAGTTTTGGAGGAGACCTCAGCTTCCCCATCAAACAAAAAGGAAACAAGTTGGTGTCAGGTCTCGGCTCCGCTCCAGAGGAGTTCTATGTCCACTGTTCGCATGACTTTACCAAAACGTGATGCTGAACAGGCCAACAAGAGACAACCTATAGGGCCCCCTGTCTCAATGAAAAATAGATCGCACCGGTAAATGAGGAGAACCAAATTGAAACCAGTGCCATGTGTCCTCAACTACTTCTCCCCCAGTTGGACGTGTCTAAGTGGTGGTTTGGATGGGAGGCTGTAAGAACCAAGGGTACAATTCCACAAGCTGCCAATCCAAATCACCCATCAGGAGATATGTGGCTGACCGTTGCCGTTCAAGGGAAACCAGCAGGCAACATGAATGAGCTCATGATCGATAGCTCAATGTGGTTGTTCAACATCATGCAAAGGGTGGAAACGCCTCCCTCAACTCCACCTCATCAAACGTGAATCATCTTGGTGCCGCTGGTTTGCAATCGGATGGCACTCCTACCACGTGAGAGGTGAAACAGAAAGCCTGAGGAGAATCCCCTCTAAAAAGTCACTTCGAAGGGATCCCGCAACCATGATTTCAGGGGGTCTCTCTTCACTGTCTCTGTGACGACTCCTGCTGTCTCAAGTGCATCTGACTGCGCGAAGGTGGTTGCAAGGTGACAGGTCTCGAATGGAACCCCAAATTGGGGCTCCAGGGGTTCCCATGGCTTGTTGGGCTCCATGCTCTTCCATTTGCCTAGGTCCACTGGAACAAAAAACACATACCTTGAAAACCAACCGGGGAAAATAAACATTCAATATTTCTTTCAAGTGCAGAAGATACAATATTCCTTTCACATGAAGTGCTGCAGAAATCAGAACATCACCAGTAGTGATAAACTCCTTTTAAAGCCACCAAGGGAACCATTATTTGTTTCTAGCTCCTCCAGTAGAGAGGATAGGCTAAGGGTACCAACTTTTTCTGTAGTCTATAGGGGCTTGCCCTCCCCCCAAAAAAGAAACGCTAAAAGTTGGCACCTAGCTTGGGGACCGAGTTCTTCAGGACGTCTCCCATCGCCCCATTCGCTGTCGTTCGCTTCGCCTGCCGTGCCACGCCGGCCACAAAGGCCTGGCGAGAAGTCGACCGGAACTCCCCATCGATCGGAGCCAGTTTTCCGAGTAACCAGTGAACCCATGTGGATCAAAAAACCGGAATTCCAACATGAACCCTGTGGAAACATGGACCAAAACCTGCGTCACCGGCTGGAACTAGGACCGCAAAAATATGCTTTAAAAAAATGCCGAGGGGAAAACAAAGGGGAGCCCGAAAAAGCGAAAAATCGAAAAGGGGAGCTAATTCTGGGGAAGTGAACACGTGGCTATGGCTAAAAAACTGGAATTCCAAAATGGCGCAAGCCCTGGAAAGTGGAAACATGGGCCAAAACCTGCAGTTTGACCCTCCTGGTTAATTTTGAGCCACACCCGCATTGTGCTGGGATTCCCTTCAAAAGCAACGGAGATGAAAATAGTCAAATCAAAAAACTCATCTCAGCAAATGGAAGCAAGCTGTGACCATTTGGTTGAAACGTCCCATGGAGTTTGAGCGTTGGAGTCTTTCTCCGAGCCTGGAAAAAGAAAAAACAAAAAACATGCCGCTGCAAGATTGGGAGACACTCCAGGAGACACCAATTGAACAAAAACACTTGCAAGAACACTCCGAAAAACACAGTGACAACCGGTGAAAACCCGATCGAATGAGATCTCTTAGATCCTTTTGCAAGTTCTTATTGGTCCCAAGCGAAGCCGGTTGGAAGAATTGTCGTCCTTGCCTGCCACACAAAGATGGAAGGATTCCAAGCGGAAGTCTTGTCGAAGCTCGGTGCAAGCCATGTTTGGTTGGTGGCAAGGTACCAAAAGCAACCCAAATGTTGAACTAGGTCATCCAGTAGAGAGGTGGAATAAGGGTACCAACTTTTTCTGGGGACCTAGTTGAGTCATTGCTCAGTTTCGCGGCTCAGTACTTCCACCTTGGTTTGAAGGGCGCTTGGTCCCCTTTTCCATGGTACCCAAAGCTCTACGGCAATTAGACCCCTTTTCATTCAAGAGAAACAAGGAGGTAAGAGACCTTTCGGGTTGGTTCATTTTCCATTCCTTCCATTGTTCTTAGCGCGTTTCCAACCCCGTTGCCTTAACGGCCAACCTCTCGGTTTTCGTTCGGCCGCTGAATCCCCGCCTTGCAAAAGCAAGCTTCATTTTGAGACGAGACCCCAACACCAACCAAAACGCTGTTGGGTGGTATGCTTAGCCAGGGTTGATACACGTTGGTTTTCTCTATCGGTACTTTCCCCATTCTTTCCGGGGATCCTTCTAGAAAACCTCCGGAAACCCAAGGGAAAACGGATCTGGTTCTTGAAAAGCACGATGGCGGAAAAGGATGGCAAAGGAATCAACCCCTAGACCGGTTTAGGTGGTCCTGGCGTGGCTTGGCGCATGGTTTGCGCCAAAAAAAACCGCGCGCCTTCGGGGCCGCAGGCTGTCCTGCCAGAAGAAGCCTCGGTTGCGTTGGCCCGCTCGTGTCCCCAACAAGACTTCTGGGGGCTTTTTATACCGTTGGACCCCCCAACATGGTATTTGTCCTGTTGGCTTCCCTTTAAACAACCACAAACAAGCGGGTACGCTAAAAGAGAATACCCGTATGTATGAGAGTAACAAGAATCATGGCCGCTATGTTGATATGGTGATAGTGAAATACACACCTGCCATGTTGTGGTGGACCAAATCCGCTTACCAGTTGAGATTCAGAGACTCTGAAGGGTTCTTTTCGAAGGTCAAAAAGGCTGGGGTCGAAGAGCAACCATATTTTTTTCAGCCACGGGCCCAATATTTTTCTGGGCGGAGCAGTTTCGGTAGGAATCCTGAAAGCTGTTGACGCCAGGGGCCTTTTGACCACAGCACACATGGTGTTGGGTCCAGGACCACATCTGCTCCCCAAGCCTACAATTTCGGAAGGAAACTGATTGGAACTGAGAGATGCTTGAAATTACCAAAAGGGCAAGTAGAGCTTGAACTCTGTCTGGGGTTCCGGAATCCATTCTGGAAGAACCCACACTCGTTGCCAGCCCGAAGTGCTGATGCCTGTATGCCTGGAAATCGTCTTGTGGCCAGCGAACAATTCAACCAAATGCCACGTGCTTTGCCGCCAGACCATTGAACAAGCAAAACCCGCTGGGAGTGAACTTCAACTTACCTGCAGATTTGCTGAAAGAAATCCACTCGCCCACCCCCGTTTGGCCGTTTTGCCGCAGACCATGGCATGTCAGTTGCGGTTGGGGTTCCCGGCAAGCTAGGGAGCTTTCGCCCAAGTGTCCTTTGCTTGAAATGTGGATTTGGGTGTCTCAAAATAGGGGAAGCTAAGCAAGCCAAACAGGTACCCTCAAAAAAAACCGAGACACCCATTTGGAGCCTGGGTGTGGGCATGGACAGGCCTTACGGCTGTCTCAAAATTGGTTGAAAAGTCCCATTCTGAAGCTCCGGTGACGTGGAACAATTCGCGGCAACTCGACCCAATGGAAGAGGACAGAAGGC